GGGGGGGGGGGGGGGGCGGGATGATGGCTTCAAGTGGAAGCTGAAATCATGAAAGGTGGACATCTTCGGTTACGAGTCCACCCTTCTCGTGGCCCGGAATTGGGGAGTCATCCAACCAGGGAGGCTGCCCGCCGGCCCGTCTCCAGGCAGATTGGTTTTGCTGTTAGGGAGTTTTGCGGTTTTAGGGTTTGGGCTTTCAGGGTNNAGGGTTAATATAGAAGCCTAAATCATTACCAGTACTCTTGGGGGTTCCGTACTATATCTATACTGGGCTCCTATTCTAGTTATTAAGGTCCCTACATGAGGGGAATTCAGCTTGTTGGGGCACCTTGGGGTAGTGGTCTGCCACAACTATTGCTTGAAATGGTTTAGGGTTTAGGGGTTTGGGGTTTAGGGTTTAGGGTAATACTCCATGCTGTTGATAAAACAGGAGGCCCAGGGTCCTTTGGGTCGTTTTTGTTTGGCAAGTGCCTCCGATGCTGAACCGCGCAGGAGTCATTACTAAGCTTATGGCGTAGAGCGTACGATCTTCAAAGCTTTTGGATTCAAGTTGTTGGGCCAGCTAACCCGACTGAAGTTGCGGTTAAAGCTTGGTTACTTCTAACCAGCAAGGCTCCTGTCAGCAGAAATATCTCCAACACCCGAAAGCCATAAGGCTATAAAGCCCTGGACAACCTTACAAGCCCAGGGTTCAACCTAATTCGGCCAATACTTAGGGTTAAGCCCTAAACCCTAAACCCCAAACCGTAAGGTTTGGGCACCCTGGTGGTATTCTAACTATGAAAGCTTCTACATCAACTGCGGAGACGAGAGCGCATGCACGCCAGCATGCACGCCAAAATCAATCTCTCCGCGAGTCAAATCGAGATCCTAGACCCAGGACCCTTATCTCTCCCCTAAGCCCTGGTTTAGGGTTTAGGGTTTAGGCTAATCCCTAAAACTTGTGTTTATCAGTTTGTCTTGCCAGTGATACCTGACACTCTTCAACTTACCCAGCCACTGACTTGAAGCTTCGCGCGATTTTCTGCTTGGCTTTCTGTAACCGTGAACCCTAAACTTTAGGCTGGGCCTGGTTATCGAAGGAGAGACCCTAAACCCTAAACCCTAAACCCTAAACCCTACACCTTAACCGTCATTATTGGGTTTTCAAGCCCTGGAACAGCTATGAGAAGAGTTTACGACCAGAGCCAAAACTCTGAGCCCAGAAAGTGCTGGGCCTTCTATAGCTAGGCAGCTTGGGTTTAGGGTTTTGGGTTTTGGGTTGCGGGTTTAGGGCTTAGGGTTTAGGGTTTAGGGTAAAGCTAGGCTTTGGGGGCTTGTATTTGTGATTTAGGGCATTGCGGCTTTGTGTCGCAGTAGCCGGGTGACGCAGGGCCGAGCACCAACTCGGCTTACGTCAAGGAGTCGGCGAAGGCCTATGCAGCATCCGTTCCGGCCGCTCGGCGGAAGAAGCATGGGTTGAGGCTGTAGGTGTGGCTCTATTTCCCTAAACCCTAGACCCCAAACCCTAAACCCTAAACCCCTAAACCCTAAACCCTAAACCCTAAACCCTAAACCCCTAAACCCTAAACCCGTAAACCCTAAACCCCGTTGTTTCCATCCTGGGGCTCTAGACCCTTTTAAGCCCTAAGCCATTAGGGTTGGCAAGCACTTTGAGCAAGCTTTTCATCCTCAGAGCCTCCTGAAGAGAAGGGCTTCCGAAACCCGGAACCCCAGAGCTATCAAGTCCTCACCGTTCGGCCTCTTGGGGTTTTGGGGTTTAGGGATTAGGGATTAGGGTTTAGGGATTAGGGTTTAGGGTGGGTGCGTTTGAGAGTTGGGTTTTCGGTGGGTTTCAGGGGGTTGGGATCTCGGGTTCCTTCAGGGCTTAGGGCAATTTATGCTGTTTAAATGGCTCGGGTCTTACGCGGTTTAGGGGTTTAGGGTTTCACGGGGCTAAGCTGTGGATTTCTCATGCAACGGGCTAGCGGTTACAGCTTGGCAGCCTTTGGCTTTTGCAGTTCTTCTTTCCCAAAACGAGCAGAACGGAGCACGATTACTCGAAGGATTTGTCCAGGCAGCAGAGAAAGCAATAGGAGTAGTCACGACAAGACTGGGGGTGAGATCGAACACCAAGCACCAGGTCATGTCCTACATTTCAGTTCCTTCCAACTGAGCCTCTGCAGACACTGATGAGAGAGCTTGACTGAAGCCTTTATGTGGCTTTGCATAATATAGGGGCCTAGATAATTACCACTCCTAGTTTGGGGTTTCCTAATCATTAGTTATTATAGCAAAATCCTATTTTGGGGGTTCCGTATTATTCGTAATCATAGCACAATGGCCCAGAACCCTATTCTAATTCTTAAGGCCCCTTCTACATTGTGTGTTCTCCTGGGCCCGGCTATTCCTGGAGAGCGCCTCATAAACCCTAAACCCAAAAAACCCTAAACCCTAAACCCTAAACCATAACCCTTGACATCTTGGACAAAAGCCAGGCCTTCTCCGACATGGCACAAAGACAGTCTACAGCAAAGCATGCGCGCGACCTTTTCTTGCACCCCGGCGGAAGCTCCTCAAACCCACAACCCTATAAACCCGAAACCCTCTAAACCCACAACCCTATAAACCCGAAACCCTATAAACCCTAACCCCGAAACCCTAAACCATATAAACCCTAAACCCTATAGACCCGAAACCCGAAACCCTATAAACCCTATCAGGCCTAAACCCAAAACCGTCATTTTGTAGCTTGTTGGGCTGTTTCTCGGGCAGTCTGTGCAGTGTCCCAGTTTCGGAGGCCCACCTGAAGCCCCAGCACTAGATCGTCCGAGATCCTAAACCCCGAAACCCTAAACCCTAACCCGAAACCCCTAAGAAGCCGTAGACCCTAAACCGTAAACCCTAGACCCCTA